TCAGGTGAGACTAGGATGCTTTTTTCTGCTTACGTGTCACTGTCATTGCTGCTCTAATGTAATCTAAGATCCTTCTCACTTCAGGGAAATTTTCAGGGGGGGTTGGGGAGGTGGTGGAGCAGGAGAAGGGGGAGCGTAGTCACCTTCCCCTCACCTGAATGGAACCCATGGAAACGCAGCTATGAAGTTTTTCTTCCTTTCCTACGCACAGTGCAACAAGACAAGGACACAATGTGTATACCATGTCCCAGAGGCTACTTCTCAAAGGTTGCTTCATCCACTGACGAGTGTAAATCCTGGACCAAGTAAGTCCCTGTATCTTGTGAAAGGGCCATGACAGCCAGAAGGCAAGGAGAAGCTTGGGCAAAAGTGTTTTTCAGTGAGGTCTTCCAGGCTGTCTGCAGAGCGCAGCGAGCATCTCTGTTGGCTGTGTAGCGATAAAGGCATTCTCACACTGAAGCTTGAATTCTCCTTCAGGGGGGAGCAAGGGAGAGCAGTAACAACAGAACTGCAGAGCTGACAGGGCTGAAAATAAAGAAGGTATCTTAAGGGTGGAGAAATGCAGAGGAAATGTTGTATGTTACAACAGAAAGTACTACTCTGCATAAGTGTAGGAGCCATGACAAGCTTCCTCTTTGAGAACTTATCCTCTTTATCTTTCTTTTGTAGCTGTACAGCTCTAGGAATGGCAGAAATCATGTCTGGGACTGACAAATCAGATGCAGTTTGCGCGGAACGGAAGATGACTGAGCTATCGGAAGATGGTATGTGTCCTCGTACAGATTATCTGTTAGAAAGTAGCAGGAAGGAGGAGGGATATGTTTACTAGGTTTTTTGGCTGGCTTAACTCCAGTCCTGTCGTGGGTGACTCTAGAGGGAGCAGCTGTAAACCAAGACAACGCTCTTGGAAAATCCCATCTTTAAAGTTTACTTTAAGCCTGGCGGCTCTAGGGCCCACATCCACTACTAAGCAGAGCTTTACACCTCCCACTGAAACTGCATGGCAAGCAGCATTGCTGTGTTATACCCATGACTTCCACCACATTTACAGCCCTTTCATTTTTTCAGCCTGCTGATTTCCATACACACATTATCTGTATAAAGGCTAGCAGCTTCTCTCCATGCTTGTTTTATAGCAGTGGATACAGTCTCCACTGAATGTAGCTCTCCCTTCTTGCCCGCTGCCCATTTCCTTCTCCAGTGCGGATACGGTACCAGGGAGGTTGTTTGCCTGGCATGCGGTGATCCTTCATAACCTGAGATAAAGGATGAATTTTGCCAGCTGAATTCTATAGTCTCCGTGAGGTGTATGTCCTCCATCCATTGAGGGAGAGCAAGCGCAGCCCGTGGGCTGCTGGCAGCTTACAAGGGGACTTTCAGAGGAGGGTGACTGGATCACACTTCTCTGAGACACCAAGACTCTGTTTTTTATGGAGATGGCTCAGTACCAGGTACCTTCAGTGAGGCTGTTTGTCACAGAACTGTATGAGTGCTAGAGCTGTTGTCCTTATTATAGAAACTGAAAATCAAGTAGGAAGGAAATAAACCCTTCTCCTGTGGAAAAGCAGGTAAAATGAGCAAGGATTGTCATACTGCTGAGTACAAGCTGCATGTTGATGGCACTATCTTTTTTACATCCTGCAGGAACAAACAGGATCTTATACGTGTTGATTGTCATCTTGTTTTTTGTGGCACTAATTGGCATTGTCATCTTCATCGTATACTACAAGAATAAGGGAAAAAAGCTGACAGGTATTTGATAGCTAATGATATTAATGAATGTGACAACTGCATGGCTCTCTGTGCACTCTGATTTCATGGGTAACCACCTGGTTAAGAAACTCAGGAGCTACTTTGGAAGTTCTATGCTATCGCTATATCTGTCCACGTGGATATGCTTTAACTAGTGCGAAGCCTGGCTTCAAATTCCTTTCCTCTAGTCAGGCGGTGTATTACACTTGTGCATAATGCATATCGCTTGGTATCCTCCTGCAGCCCTGGCCGTGGGGTGACCGCCCTTGGGGCGGATGCAACCGCTGTGGGGATGAAGGAGGGCTGGTGCTGGGGGCTTTTATAGCACATGGCTGCTCTGCACCACGTGGCACAACAGACCCCTCTGCCGAAGGGAAGCAGGGACAGACATGGAAGGCTGTCACCACCTCCTATCTCCTTCCTCCCACTTTCCCTCCTCCCCTGAAACCTACATCTGGCCAGGTTAAAATATGGATTTCAAGACAAAGGCCTGATGTATATTTGGGGGGAAAAAATAATGTATAATGATGGAGGCGATGTTTTTAGCTGAAGGCCAAAGTTCTGATGAGGTATGGAAGAAATACTAGGAGGAAATTATTAGAATAAACAGTAAAAGTAGAAAAATAGAAGAATTCCAGCAAAGGCACACTGGAGAACAGTGGGGTACTGAATGTATTATTAATACAATGGAAATACCTTCAACAGTTACTCAACTCTGTGTTAAGCCCTGGATCTCTTTAGTTAAGGACATACCCGTATTGTTCTGTTCATTATTTATTTTCTCCTCCTAAACATGGAAAGCTTTTCCTACTGTAGTTTTTCCATCATCTCCTTTCCCAAGCCCTAGCAATTTATGAAATGTTTTGGGAGCAGTGGAAGGGAAGACAGCAACCCTCTCTTGTAAAGTATATTTCAGCCTGTCTTTTAGAAATAGGCTGCCTCTGCCACACTAAACACGGGTTGTGCTAAATCTGGAATTCCTGGGATGGGCTGGAGGAAATGGTGACTCTCTTTGCAAACCAAATACGACGCACTGCAGGTTAGGGGGGAACACTCTTTATTTGACGTTTCTGTTGCCCTGCTGCTCTGCAGTGACAGTCCTTCATGGACTTTGCCTGGTAAATGCTGCGAACCCAAGCCCCAGAGATTTGCAGGCTCAGGAAGAAGCTCTGCCTGCTTGTGGGGGGGACTGATGGTAAACGTGCAGAAGCAACATCAGAGGATCAGAGTCAGTACTGGCAGTGGCTATATAGCTGATCTATCTTCAGCCACACAAAACCAGCATAAGCTTCAAATGTGCGCGAGACCTGAGCCCTACAAAATCTCCTGAAAGTATAAACAGAAACCAAGAAGAATTGCTAACTCTATTAAGTGGCAGTCTTGACCATAAAGCATTGTTGGACTTAAAGCTTTTCCTTGGGAGATACTCCAGTTAAGTGAATTTCCCCATTAAATACACCCTGATTAAGTGGAATTTGCTGTATTTGAGTCTGCCATCCCGTGGTTTCAGTGGCTTACCCTCTTCTCTCCAGGCTCCTCACTTCTGTCTGAGAATGGCCTTTGGGCCTTCCATGTGACTTCTCTTGAAATAGACTGTACGGCTGCAAGTGGGTCGGTATTGGGCCAGTCATAGTTTGGTATGACATATGACCAGGAAAGAAACCCCATTTGATGTGGAACACAATTTAACTGTGGTCTATTTTGGGAGCTTGGAAACATTTGTTCCACAGAAATATATCCCTGTTCCAGTTACAACGAATCCTCAGCTAGACCGACACTGGGACTCTCGAACAGTCAGTAAAAACAGTCTCGCTGGTTTTTATTTAATACGATATTGCAAATTGTGAATGACTGTGGGTGTTTAGGTCTGTGGCTAACTTCAGTGCCTGCTATGTGTTACAGCTACTCTTTTTGTTTTAAATGTCTACAGAATTGGGCTAACGAAGTGTGCAGCCAAATAAAAGGAACAAAGGTAAAGTCAAAGACACTAGCATTTTCTCTTTGTTTTATGTTTTCCTCATGGCATTAAAAAACCTCTCCTGAAGCAGACTCCATGTTAATGTTTGGCTAGAAAACAAGTTTTGAGTTCCTCAAAAAAACGCTTGCAGCTTTGGCTTTTTCGGTCTGGTTTTCTGTAAATGTGAGGCGTAAGAAATCACTGTTCTCAAATAGCTTCTGAACCTGCTCTCTGGTTTCAGCCAGTTTTAGCAGTAGTAAAAGTCTCTGTGATGATTAAATATTTATGAGGAGAAAGTTAAACATTAGCCCACTGGTTGCTGAACACCTGAGACTTTGCCTAGGAGAGCGCCTTTCTAAATCCTAAGAGCAGGAAAAGCTTCAGCCAAGTTTGTACCTTTTTATATACCAGAGTGCTCACAGGGGGAGGAACGTGGGTGTGGGGCAATGCCAAGAAAGTCAGACGTGCAAGGCATTAAGCACAGAGCCATCGGCTAAAGAAACTGCTGGTGAGACACCTTAATTCTCGTGCTCAGAGAAATCCTTCTTGTCCGTTCAGATGTGAAAAAAGTAAGAGGTTTTGCTCTGGAAGAACACCAGATCCCATGCTTGGAACACTTAGATGGGGGCACAGGTTCAGGTTCATGTACACTGCCTGCTTCACACCATGGATGTGGTGTCCCAGGTCCATGCTCTCCCCACCACCCCATCTAGGAGCTGTGTCTAGCTTAGCTGTTGAAAGACTGACATTCCATTGCTACAAAAAAAAAAAAAAACCACCAAAAACAAAAAACAAAAACATACCAAACCAACCCACCTTTTTGAGCAGGCAGTTCCTCTTTTGTCTTGTAAGTGTTCGTGCAACCTCCTGCATTGGCGACTGCTCAGATCCTCCTGAACAGAGGAGTCAATCAACAGCAATTAGTGGCTGGCAGCATTTACACTCTCTCTTCTATCCTGGAAGATCTGAACAGACACTGGAAATGAAAGGTATCAGTTCCCAAACACCCGCCTTTACAGCACAACTTGCATGAACTGAAGGGAACCATTGAAGTATTTCCCAACCCTTTTTTTTGCAGCTGCAACCAAAAACATAGCTTTACTTTGACAAGTACTGGCAACATGACATCATGGGCCTTTACGTTTGTCGTCCTAACATTTTCCAGGTTAAAGCAACCCTGCCCATGTGGCTTCTTTTTTTCTAGCTTGTCTTGAGCCCTCTGAATCAACCCAGTTTCTTTCTTCTATCATTATTGATAATATAGATCCTGCTCCTGGGAAGGCCTTCACAGATCAAGAGCCTTCAGACACATAGGGGGTTTCCAAACCCTTACAAGCAGTTAGGTAGGTCTTACTGATGGTCCATAAGGAACAACAGAATCCAGTGACTCTTCTAGATTTATTAACTCTTAAGTGCCTTCTTAAGAACTAGGAATAGTCGCCTCCCAAAATTAAATGTTATTGCCTCTCAGGCCACCAGATTTTTTTATGAACACCCGCTGAGCCCAGCATCACCGGTCACAGTTTCACAGCAGAACAGAATTACACTTCAAGTCTCAAATATAGTGGTGCTGCCTAACCTCAGCAGCTCCACACCAAGAAATAACTGAGATCTACTTGTTCCTTCTTTGTCTAGAAAATAATCTTCTGCTGATCTCTTTATTAAACATCTTTTTATTTTTAATTTCTTTCAGGAGCCCCCTAGAGATGCATTTGTTACCGTGAACATCACGAATGCTGCTGTCCCCCAGACCTGTGAGGGCATGCATCTCCTGGGCCCCACTGGCTCTCCTGCCCATGGAAACTCATGCTGCAGTGGTGGTCACGCTCCTTGCAGGAACGGGAGCCCCAGCATGGCGCCCTGCGAGGCAGGAGGGAGCCTCCAAGAGTTTTCTGTGGTAACTGAGACTGATGATGACCATTTCCCACCAGTTCCCACAGAAGATGAATACATGGATAAGGATCTCAATAGTGCTGATTATTTATCTTTACTGAGTCGGACTGCCAGTAAAACCGTGTCATCATTCTCAGAACCGATGGAGGCAGGGGAGAATGACAGCTTAAATCAGTACTTTTCAGGGACTGGGAGCACAGAGGACGACATATCACTCTCTCAAGGCTTTCACCCTTCCTCTGACACAGATGGGGCACATGCTGCCACGGACAAACTTCTTCAGAAATCTTGCCAACATGCCCACAGTTGCCTGAAGGAAACGGGCAACAAAGACACAGATCGTTTTGCAAAAAACTATGACTCAGAGAAGATCTGTGTGAGGTGTGGCATTTCGTACAGGGAATCTCCCAGAAAGTGGAGCAAACCCTGTTGTGCTGCGGCTGACAGTGCCTCCATCTCCCCAGAAACTGCATCCCATGCACAGTGCACTTGTGGCTTGAATTTTCTCTCTGCTGGTCAGAGCAATCTAGCAAGTGACCGTGGTATGGAAGATGCATCTTTGGATAGTACCAACATGAAGTACCAGAACACAAACAGAGGCACTTCAGGGACAAACAGAAGCACTTCAGGGACAAACAGTAGCACTTCAGACCTCCCTCCAGCATCTGGTAAGCCCATTAGGTTTGACCCATGCACAGTCGTACAGGATTATTCTCTGTGCTAGCTCAGTATTATTCAGAGGGTCTGATTTAGGAGAAGGGGAGAATAAAAAAATTATGCCTTTTCACTTAATTGCCCTGAAGCTAATCTGAAAAACAAAACTGAAATAGTAAGGCCATTTGGTTTGTAGTGAATTCTGCAAATAGTATGAGCACTGTGAGGGACCAGTGTCCTGCCCTGATCTAACCAGCAATGCAGAACTCATCTTCTGGCTGTCACTGCAGAGGCCAGGCAATTCTGTTACTGAAGTATTTTGGCAATAGCAGATGTGTTCATTGGAGAAAACTTAGAAGGAGGAGAGTATAGGGAACTAGAGGCTGAGTCAAGAAAGGATGCATAACGCTCAGACAGACGATTTTCCATTCAGCAGTCTGCATGCACATTTTTGCCATTAGGTTTAAGTCCAGTTACATTTATATGGCAGCCAGTGAAACTCCAGCTGGAGCTGTAACCTGGTGGCCATGACTGGGTCTAAGAGATTATGTTGAATTTTCTGGTTTTAGCTCTTTCTCTTTGCTTATATCCTAGCGAATTAAAACATTCACCTAAAAATAATTTCATACAGATGTTGTTTCTCCATATACAAGTGCTCTGTCACCTAAACAACTCTGAAACACTGTTGTCAATCTGCTAATTGCCTACCAATTTGCTAATTGAATAAATATATCAAATTGTCAAATGAAAGCAGGGAAAAAAAAATCACTGGAGCAAAACTAGCAGAAAGGAAGTTACGAGCCTTTTCTGGATGAAACCTTCCTCCCTCAGACTTTTTTTCAGTATAAAAGTCTGCAATCTGCCTGTCATGTGTTATTAGTCACTTTAGATTATAATCTCTTAAAGTCAGATGCTCTGTTTTTATTTATGTCGATGCACTGCCAAGCATAATGAGACCTTAGTTCTGACTGGGAGATCTAAGTATTACTGTAATACAGCAGTCGTGAGCTGTTGCCCTTCTTTAAAACCATGTCATGCCTTAAAGTTTCTTACGGATGCATTTTTGTCAGGATGCCAAAGCCCAAAAGCAACAATTCTGAAGGCCCTTCCTTTCTCAACATGCATGCCATGTGGGAATCTGAAAGTGTGTAGTGTTCATCTTTCTAAGAGCAGATACTCTTTCTTCTGTTTCAGTTTCCTGAAATCTTGACACAGTTTCACTGCCTGATCTGTACAAAAGTCAGCAGTAGTAAAGAGAACACAGATTATCTTTTGTTGTTGTTGTTGGAAGGGGACTCTTGGGTACAACTGAAAGTCAAGTCGTATTTGGCACTGCAGAAGTACTGCTTTTCTTTCTAAATCTGACACGATATTCAGGAACAACAGGGCAAACAGGAAAGCTTGGATTTGAGCGACGTGCTAGAAAGTGCCATCTTAGATCTGCAGTATAATTATACGGGATGTTAATGGTGTCTGTGTCTTTGGGTATGTACATGCTATAGTGCCATCTGGTGAAACCTGAGCACAGATAGTGTGTTCCTGATTTGCCTCTTTTTAGGCACGACTGCCGGAAGGAAGGTACTGACTGAGCTGTGGGCAGTCTGAGAGTGTAGGTTAGTTAATCTGTAGGTAGTGTGGCTTGCTGGCAGAGGGGTTTTTTCCTGTCTGCAGAATGGCCATGCCCCACTGGCAGCTCCTGGTTGCACGAGGAGTGTGACGAGGTTTAGCCATAGGTTCCACCCTGAAGCACCCTGTCCGTGCTGGGGCTGCACGTGGAGCTGCAACGGCATCGGTCATTTTGCTGGGCCTCGTGAAATGCCCAGATGGGATAAAAGTGCATGCAAAATAACTTTCTGTAAAGCTTCTCAAAGCGACTGAAGCCACCAGGCTTTGCACACAGTCATGCTAAGACAGAATGGTACAAAAGAGGGTGGATGAAAAAATGGGAAGAAAAAGGCCATGGGTAATTCCATGAAGTTTTGGTTTTAATTCCCTAATACTCAAAATAACAACAGATATTGCAAACTTGGGCCCTCCTGTGAAAGAACCCTAGAGGACCAAGGTAAACCTCTGGACAGGTGCCACTTACAGGGGTCACCACCAGAGATGGAGGTAAGCCTTCAAGCACTCTCTCAAACCGAGCCTGCAGGCAGACAGAACATGACAAGCGTCGGTTCCGTGACCACCTCCAGTCATGTATAGGGCTACAGCATAAAGCATGAGTGCAGGAAGACTTAGGTGACTCACAATCAGGAATGGTTTTGCAGAGCCTTTCACTTCCAGATCCCAAACCAGCTCGTTTTGGCAGCGACAAACAGTTCTTACCACCTAGAGGCCATTAGATGGCTCAGAGAAAATTAATCACCTGGGTTGTTCCAGTTCTTAGTGAATAATTACCACAAAAATTAATCTGTCATTGTAATTAATATCATCAGATAGTCTGAAGAGATCAAAAGGCTGAAATGTGGCAGAGAATGATGCCTTTGCTTGTCCTCTGAAGGTGTCCCTTATACTTTCCAGGTTGGAAGCACATCTCAGTGCAGTGCAGGAAGTTCTTGTGTCCATTTTCTGTGGTTTTGGGCCTCAAATATCCTGTAGTTTCAGCATGGTGTCTTCAGAAAGCAGTGAAGATTTGCCAGCCACATTCAACTAAACATTATAAATGTGTTAATCTGCCTTTTTTTTTTTTTCCCCCCTCCTCACTGTTACATATATTTTTAAATTCTTGAGCTCATAGTGAGCACTGGTAAACTTCTCGGCAGTACCTTTTGCGAGTGACAGGCAGTCTGTATAAAGGCAAACAGTTATTTTTGTACTCCCATTATGCCTAACAGTTTTGTTGATGGCAAACAGCCGAATCGAACACAGGGGAAGCAACCAGCAGGGAAAAAAACCCTGCAGAGAAAACTCTTATTGACACCTCACGTTAATCAACAACACTTGGAAAGAAAGCAAAGAGCTAGGAATGCAGTTTAGCTGAAATAAATAGGATTGCTTGAGGGGGGCTATTAGAGAGATGCTCGAGTGCTCTCCAGACTCACTTATGAGCAGGCACAGGTCCTAACTCCGCACAGCTGGAGCCCAGTGTCCATTGCTGATGTGCAAACATCACCCGTGGCCCCTCAAAAAACAGCATTTCTCTGGGCTGGGCCACGCTTAGCTGCAATGAAAGTGGGAATGTCTCAAGCGTTGAGCAACATAATGAGGAAAGGCACAAAATGTCTAAAAGGTGTCAAATCAGTCCACAAGTAATGATTAAGTGAAGCACAGCAGGAAAAACATTTCTTAGGAAGAGTGTTCATAGGCTAGGAAGAATTTTATTTTTTTTTCACTTGGTTGCTTCTGTTTGTTTAATTTTCAAACTTTAACAAGTTTGTTAGTTTGTTGAAAGTTTGCTCTCAGTTATTTTCTTTCTGCTCTGAGGGAAGTTTATTAATTCGCAGAGCCTGGTCCTGCTGTCACTTGAGTCAGTGACCCAGTCTTTGAATGGTGGAAAGATTGAATTTATACTGAAAAATCTCTAACGGCAGGCAGACTGACTGAAACCATAACTCTGTTAGGTTGCTATAATATAGGCCTTGTCTCTTTGCTGCAGTCAGTGTATATCCAGGTAAATCCATGAGGGCACTAGGTGAGTACCAGAGTGTACCTACAAGGAGGATTAGGACAATATGAGATAATCATGTAAGTTCCGTGTCATTTGGATGCTGTGTGACTATATGGTCTGACGTTAAGTCTTTCAGTATTTATTCAATAAGCCCACACGGTAGGATTCATTGTTTACCAAAGGGGACAAAAACCCCCATGTGATGCCTGGGACCCTAAAAAAAACCCCCCAAACACCTCATAATTAGAAATAATGACCATTTCTTCACAAACTGTGGGCAGAGGCAGTTTGGATGCAGCTTGTGCATCCAGCAGCACGGGGACCATGAGATCGCCGCACTCTCTCTTGCTTCCCAGAATGCAATTGAGAGAGAAAATGTTTCCAAGCCTTCCAGACAGGCTCCCTGGGGATGACAGGCTTCGTCCTGAGGAGGCAAAAATGGAAATAATGAAAAGGTCCAGTGGAAGGCATTGATTATAAAAGCATCCTCATGTCACGGGGAAAAAATAATGGAACAAGAGTAAAGCTACTACAGCAAATTAAGTTCACTGCTCTAAGTGTCTGTCCCATGAGGGGAAAATATTAATCACGTGTGTCTTCTTTTCTCCCCGCTCCTTCCCCAGGAAATGTGACTGGAAACAGTAACTCCACCTTTATTTCAAGTGGACAAGTAATGAATTTCAAGGGCGACATCATTGTTGTCTACCTTAGCCAAAACTCCCAGGAGGGGACAACGGCCTCGGGACCGAGCGAGGAGAAAGTGGGCAGCCCCGTGCAGGAGGAAAACCTCAGCCGCTGCGAGACTTTTGCCGGCAACACCCAGAACTACAAGGAGAAGTGTGCCGAGCT